ATGACTATACTATTCTACTACAACTATACTATACTGAAACTGTATTTCTTTACGGCACGGCTATACACTCAGATGGTCAACTTAGTCTATCTAAAATATCAATTATTATTATTAGCATTAATAACTCAAATAACTGTAACTGTAGGTAATACTTGTTAATTTAGGACTAGGATTTTACTTACGACTTACGATCCTTATATAAATTTTGGTTACCGGACCCACCTTGACTTGCCGTGTGCACATCTAATTTTTACAGGGTCAACTTACAACAATTCATCCTATCATTACCAAGAATAATAATTATAAGTACCTTCAAGCATTTTTGTTGATACGTTTCTTAGAGTAGAGTTTCTACCAAGCATCTCTGGTGACATGGATGTACTGTACATCGAATGATATTGTTAGGTGGCGTGAGGCTACAGCATGCTTCCGCTATGCTTGTTCCCTGGCCCATTGTTTACTAAATAATACTTGGGGCTGGGGTGGGGGACTAAGAAAAATCACCCACATTGAAATACCGGTATTAAAATTCTTTTGAGGGCTATTAGGACAAATCATGAAGTTGTCTTAATGTTTATAATAATAGAATTGTACAGGACGTTTCATTAATAATTACACTACAGGCTGCCCAGACAATTATGCCTTTATGCATACAATTAATTTTTATTGTAAAATATACATAAATATATTAAAAAGTAGTTAGTGTTAGTGGCTACTACTACTACGGTAGTAATTAATATATTGTTAGGCTTACAAAAATCCTCCTTTAAAGTAAAATAAATGTTTGTGCCTGCACAGTCTTGAAACATTTATCGAAAGGGTGCGCCCTAGCCGGCTGTAGTTAAGAAGGGGGACAGGTCCCCGTGCGCCAGACGTTGGGCGCCAAATGGTTTTAGAAGTTAAGGGAGTCGTAAAAATAAATGCCTGGGTGCCAAATGCTCCAGCTCAGGGGTCTCAAACTCAAATTATCCGGGGGCCGCGGGAGGTAAAATAGGCCGCAATCAAGTATTCCACAGACAAAAAGCGATTAAAAATTCAAGAAAGTACAACTGTTACAATGCGCTCAAAATGTATTAATAACTAACACATAGGCCCAAAAACATTAAGGGTTTTCAAGAACTAGGCTTCACTTTTTTCCTCCTACTCCTTGTTGCCAGAAACTTGTCAGTGCTTCTCCTTACACAGCTGAGTAATATTTGGCTTGAGTCTTGAGTGAGGAAGCAACCGAGACCCTCAGTATAGCTTGAGGATGCTTACCAGTAAGTTTGACCCCGAACTTTGACTAGTTAAAGTTCATAGTGGAAAAGTTTTTTTTTCACACATATAGGTACTCTCAAAAAAGCACATGAACCTGGAAATCTTAGGGTGGAGGGCAATGCTCTAATAAATTGTACATGCGTGTCTATTTTTCCATTCACCTACCTGAACTTGCACTGCAGATCAATCAGCACAAAGGGGTGGGTCAGTGGGGACATCTTCCACATTGAAGGAGAAAGGGTCAGCAAAAAATTTGAAAATTGGCTCTGTGTGTATTGAATTCGGCAAACATGTGATCAAATTCTTCTTGTAGATTTGCAATGGCATCATTATACTTACTACTGAATGGTGTGCCCGAGTCCATGAGTACTCTGCATTTTGGGAAATGGCAGAGATTTCTCTGAGAACCATAACACAAGTTTTGTGTAGAAGGCCCTGATATTATCATAGGCAACACTGACAAGCTGCGCCTGGTCTTGTAACTTCTTGTTGAGTACATTCAGCTCCTGTGTAATCTCAAGAAAAGCCAAGTCCATGAGCCATTTGGGATAATTTAGTACAGGAACAACCACCCCAATCCTTCTCCATTAAGCCGTAAGCAGGTGCAGGCAATATTTATTAATTATTGATGCGAACGAAGATACTATTGTAGGGAGGATGAATTTTGATTGTTTTATCCTCGAAAAGGCCTTTTTGTACAACCTTATTTTGAAAGGGACCAAATTTGAAAGTGAGCAAGCTGACAGGCTCGGAATTTCCCTCACTTGTAAACACTAGTGGCAATTTTAATAGGGATACTTTGATACTGTGTCAGATAGCTTCGATTTACACAATTATGGTTGTGCATTACCCACTAACTGAATTTTTAAACTTTTATCAAAACCGCACTTTGGCCATGTTTGTCTCATAAAATGCTATAAAATAAAAACTTTTAGTCCGATTTTAAAATGGTTTTTAACATTATAATCAACGTCCAAATCTACATAGATATAATAAAAATCAGAATTAGACTAGTCAGTGAGATTCGACTGAAACCGTCGCGGAGGGACACATTATAGATATGAGAATGTGGGAAACGCGCGGGCCGCATTAACACAAAACTGTGCTGTCAGGTAGCAGGGCCACTATATATCGTCTTGCGGGCCGCAAACGGCCCGCGGGCTGCGAGTTTGAGATTCCTGCTCTAGCTTGTGATATAAACATTTAAAGCTCTTTAAATGAAGATATAATATATTACAACCTCATTTTTTTTGGGGGGGGGGGGGGCGGGGATAATTTTTTTTTAAAATTTCCCCCTTCCCCCAAAAAATATCCCTTACCAATATCCCACTGAGCTCTCGCCCCCTACGCCTTCTAAGCCCCCCCCCCCACCACCGGCGTGGGAAGTGGAGTGCAGAGAGCTGTACTTTTTACTTTATACTGAGAGGTGACATTTTTTCTACCAACTGTATTTTTTTTTTTCATGGATGGGACGTGAAAATCTTGGTCTGCCCTGACCACAACCTCCCCAACCCTCAAACTCCTTTCAAAACCAGCCTTTCAGCCCTTCGACCCTACTCTCTAAACCTTAACTCTCCATCGACTCTCCCCTTACATCTTCCCTTTCATCCACATAGACCCTTTACACCTTACCCACCACTTGCTCCATTTTTTTATTTTGAAGATCTTTTTAGCCTACTTAAAAATGTAGGCTTATGTTTCTTAAGTATAGTTTTATTCAGTCAACGCTTTGCACACACATACACAAACAACAAGTAACGTAAGTACGTTGGAACCTCGAAAAAATATCATAATTGATTTCCTTTATTAAATTAGTGAGCAATCACGAATAATTGAAAAATAATAGTTTAAACCCTGTATTATATTTATAAGGACGACCAGTAGGCCATATTATTATAAGTCTAAAACATCCATTCTAACTTTATGGCCCGAAAAAAAAAACAACATACGACAATTTAATTTATACACCCTTGAATTAAAAAAAAAACAACGATATATTATATGCCATTTTACAATTTACAATGCCTAAACATTTAACAAAATATTTATGTATAAAATCTAATAGGGAGCAACCTCCCTGCCCTTAGTAGAGAACATTTCAGCTCAAATATATAATTCTGAAATGCACAGATACTAAAAAGTTTGGGCTCTTATAAGTAAAACAAAACCTGCATCTTGTGACTCTAGCCATAGCAATATCCATAGCCACACAATCCCACTAACTAACTAATTAACTAACTCTCTCTCTCTCTCTTTTTCTCTCCATTCCACACTTTTTAAATCCTTTGTATTAACTTCAATTTTGTGTGTTTCTCTGTTGCAAAATCTTCGCAAGGCTTATTGACCCACTTCCCGCCATCCTATCAAACTAAAACAAGGCACATAGATTCGTTGCCAATGACAAAACATTTGTACAAATTTTCAGCCAGCCCCACCACAAATCCGAAAATTTGTTTTTCCCGTTTTTCAAAGGGAAGCTAATTGACCTACTTTCCATCGTCCTATCGAGCTGAAACTTGGCACATAGAGCCAATGCCGGTGGCAACACATTCGATTGAATTTTTAAACCTGATCCCCAACCCCACAAAATCAGTTTTTCCTGTGTTTTCAGGGATGGGCGGGGCATGTTAATGATTTGTTCAATGGACGCATGTTATGGTTTGGAGATAAAATGTGTAGATGTTGGTATGTGCGTTGTATTGTGGCGTAAGTGTGTTTAATTATATCTTTAGTTTTGCATGCACTAAGTTTGATAAAAACAATTCCCATACCAAAAATCAGTTGCTACAATCACATCAATGATAAATCACGTACAATTGCACAAAGCAATCAAGAAGGCATAAACAAGATGTATACAATAAACTTTATTTTCAAAGGTTCGTTTAGTTTTCTATTGTCTCAAAAGGCACAACCGTGAAAACTTATTTTGAAAAATGCCGAAATTTAAAAAAAATAATACTAATGGGGAAAAGAAAGAAAAAGAGCTGGCCAATGTGGCGTACTTGTAAATTCTTATATATTATATATATTTTGTTTCTGGTATGGCTGCTTCCATTTCACAAATGGCCCTACCCTTACTCAACATGTTTAATATAATTTATAGTACTGAGTGGGGGATGCTATCCAACAGCGAGTGTCATGCGTGACGGTTGAACTCAGGTAAAAAGTTTGGATTTTCCAGAGGTGGCTATTATATTAATCAATAAAGAGCCAGTGGTATGCTGTAGGACTTTCATAGGCCTATCACTATTGCTATTGTTTAAATGCTGGCAGGTAAGGCAGGTAGATTGTAGGACAATTTGTAGGACTATTTGTTTTAAGGCTGGCATATACTATATAAAATTAGAAGTGTTAACTCTTTTTTTTTTTTTTGGTAACACTTGGGCCCATCGTGTATTTTCTCAAAATACCAGCACCCGATGTAATAAAGCTGCCCCGGTTAAGCCCTAGCCTAATTGTAAATATTCTTCTTGATGAAGTCGAAGTCCACTAACTACTACTACTATTACTATAATTAATAATTAGTAATGTTTGGAGGATCTGTAGTTGTGTGTTACCGGGCTAACTTACTTAGACTTAGTAGTAGACCACTTAGTAATTTAAGATTAGTTTGTCTAACTTTGCCATTAGTAGTTTTTTTTTAAAATATTACAACCTGATTTTAAAAAAGAGTAAAGGTTTGTTAATTACGCATTTTTTCCCCTTCCATTAATGTAATGATCCATCTCGGTATTTTCTGGCCTATCGGTAACCGCGGTGAAATAAGGATTAGGAAGCATCAAAACATCATCAATGGCAAGTCTTCTATCACTGCAGGATTATAAAGATTCAGATGAATCTAGCACAGAAGAATCTGAAGTTAATGCCCATTTGCTGCCACTTAAAAACCAAACAGTGTCAGTTTCTTCGACAATAGCCTTAGTTGCCGCACCAGAAGTAGTCTCTAATGTATGTTGTACTCTGTTGTGAAAGAACCCTATTCTCGATTGACTCTGCTTTACCTTTTTTTTTTTTTCAATGTTAAAGCTTTGAAAATTTAAGTTAAAAATTGTATATAGGCACACTTAATTGATTTACTGATCTAGACTATATTTAAAAAGAAAAGCTGTTCAATTATTTTTAAAAATATCCTTAAATTTATTATAATTTAGATTCTGTCATCCTAGCTTTCTAGTCTAAGTCTAAAGTTTCTTAATCAATAATCCAAAGTTAATGTAAATGGCTAATATGAGTCCGAACCATATCAAAATTTTGCTACACTGCCTACACTTAATTAATCAAAATAAGGATAAATTTATGTAGCTTTAAATTTTCATATATGTTTATGTAGTGCCTACTCCTTGATTTTAATAGTGTGAGAATCACTGATAATGTGATTGGTTTTTTGTCTTATAATACTTATATAAATAAAAGAATGAATAAATTACTTTAATTACAATATTAACATCACACCAATTTGAGATGTATATTATAATGTATATTTAATATTTATTTGTCAGTTATAATTATCTTTTCACTCCAAAAATGTGCAGTTTATTGAATTTATATTGGAAAATTAGGATATTACATTTAAAAACATTATTCATTATTTATATTAAGAAAATGCTTTTCTAAAGCATATTTTATTCGTACATTTATTAATATATTATTATAATATCAATGAATCCTGTAAATATAAATGTAAATATTACATTTTTATGTTAGAAATATGCAAGAAGTTTGGTTGAATGGGATGATGTTAGAAATATGCAAGAAATATGGTTGAAAGCAATGAGCTGAAAAATGGATGACAGGAGGAGGAAAACTAAATGATAAAAAAAAGTACTTGAGGTCTGCACTAAAAAATGCACAACTTTTGAACCACTTGAGCTAGAAAATTTATCTTGATGTTTCCGTAAACCCTTCAATAGGCTCTATTCAACTTTAGTCCATTTATATGTTTAGAATTATTATGGCTCACAAACATAATTTCATAATAGTTAAGATTAGAGTCTATGCTAGACTATGTCATATGGGCATGGCATGGCATGAGACATGAGCCTCTTTTAGAACATTTTTTTGTATTGTAAACCATTCTCATCACTCAATGTTCACTCTCTTGATTGTGAAGACTTATTCTTATGATCATACAAAAAAGTTTAGAATTTAGAGCCAGCAAAAAGAAATAAAAAAATGTGGAGAAAATTTTGGTTTCCCTTTAAAATATTTGTGTGCATATAACCAAGGGGCCTATTAGTATATATATATACATATATATATATTACAGTAGAACTCGGTTATGTCGACGGTCTTGGAGTTTGCCAAAAAATGCCGAGATAACCTGTATGGCGGCAATTTATTAACATGTGCTTGAAATTTCTTCATTTACATGATGTGCGTAAATAAATGCATCACTTCAGTAAAAAAAAAAGATTAAATAATTTTTTTTTCAGTTATTTAGAGCAAATTTCAAATTAAAAAAATTAAACCAAAATCAACTTTTTAACTTAAGTACTTTTTGAGCTACGAATTTTTTAAGTGCAAGTTTGTTTGGTATTTTCTACTATGGACGAAGCCTTCACATTTTTTGCCCTTATTCTGCTCATCGTGTCTTGCGCGATCACTCTATAGTTTATATAATCACTATATAGTTTATATAATACAAAGCATCTCCTTATTACTAAAATACTATTTAGGGACTACTTACTTTGAACTTTCAACTTTGGCACATGACTATTAAATTAAAAGCTTTTGCACACGGCAAACTCTTATGAATGAAACTCTGAAATAGTACCTCAGCATAGCCATTATGCAAATGATCGTGAATTGCTCCCATGACAACGTTTTGCACACGGAAAATTATGATCATTTGTAATATGGACTCTACTGGATTTTTAAACCTTGAATAAAAACATATTTATTTAAATTACTTCTAGGTTCATTCTAAACACAAGTCCTGTATTTTGAGAAATAAATAATTATTTTTAATTAAGAAAAACTTGTTTATTTGTTGTTTGCTATTTCTTCTTGCGGAGTTCAAAAGCCGTTGATCGGTCATGGGGATCGAGATAACCAAGGTTAAGTGGCAAATTTGGCCACCTTTTGTGCTCGAGATATCAGGGTTTGGAGACAAAAATAAGAATCAATATAACCGAGGAGAAAATGCTAAGACAAAGAGAGAATTTGATGGTTCCACCTCAAAAAAGTTGACATATAACAAGGTTGGCGAGTTAACCGAGGTCGAGATAATCGGGTTTGAGTGTATACATAATCAATTAAATTTTTTTTATATATTTATATTTATGATTAGAACTATTCAGTTTTGACTTACAATTAAGAAAAACCTAAATTTAGGTAAACAGGCAAATAACAGGTCACTTATATTTTTGGACCTTCCATTATTATTTTTGAAAATTCCAGTGGAAACCAACTTGCCAAACATATATATGTAATGTATATTTGTATCATTCCTAGGTCCATAAATATTTTTTCTTCTAAATATTTATGTTTAGCTAGTTGTCAGATAGGCCTACATCTTTGTTTTATTCTGCTTTAAAGGAAGACAACTTTGGTCTTAGACACATTGATCCTAAAACAAAAGAGCTCAAGTATAATCCAAAGCATGATGAACTTTTTGCACCACATGTAAGTTAAGGATTAAATATCTTATCAAATTATAGAAATTTTGGATGCAAAAAATATACCCACATTAAAAATTAAATGATGCATGATTTAAATATTTTTCATAGATGAGCTATAAATTAATTTGTAGATGTTCATAAAAAAAGTTCTCAAATATATGTTTTTGTTTATGCATAAAAATCAATTTAAAAAATTAATAATAACTCTGTAATAAGAAGGATAGGTTAATTTGATTAAATTAATCAACTGAAGAATCATTTGTTATGTTAAATATAATAAACAGCTAATTATCATCAATGCCCTTTCAGGTGGGTCCAGTTAATCCCTACCGAACTCAGCAGGCAAGTGCTATGCGAAACACCCTCTCAGGCTTTGCAGAACCAGCTCATTTCAGTGATTTTCAATTTGATAATCAGAGAAAAACATTCACAAGTTATGGTAAGTGTAATTTTTTTGTAAATTTCACAGAAGAAAAAAATAGAAAGCCTTGCCAGTTTTAATCCCATTTTATTATTGTTATTAAATGTTATGATTAAATACTGAAGTTTTATTTATGTTTTCAGTGTTTTGGTATGGTCTCTGTGTATATATGGCGCCATCTTATCTCAAAGCACTCATGACGCCTTATGTACCCACTAGAGAGCTCCGCTCATCCGATAGTGGCAAAATATCGATACCGTGTGTTCACCTTGAGACTTACGGAAAGCGCACTTTTGCATTTGCCGGCCCAACAATTTGGAACGCATTTCCAGTCGCTCTCAGAAACAGCCAGACACTGGAGTCCTTTAAAACCGATTTAAAAACACATCTATTTAGCAAACACCTTCTGGGGTGATGCTATCTACCATCTTTTTCAGTTAATGTATATTGGCTTGTGTTGCTAATGGTTGAAACGGGATGAAAGACTTTGACTGGGTATGGTCGTATGTAGCTTTATATTGTTGCGTCTGTTTTTAAATGTGGTAAATTTTAGATTGTTTTTATGTCTCTTTTTAATATGGTTGACTTTGTACCGCGCTTCGAGCTTTTGGAGATGAAGCGTGGTTTTCAAATAAACATTATTATTATTATTATCATATTTTTTATTATTATGTATAGACTATTTCATTTTCAAATTTCATATTTTTTTCTTGATAGACAAGTGCATAAATTTGCATAATTTTGTTCAATTTAGGTTTTGCATTAGATCCAAGTGTAGATGATGGGGGAACGCCTGAGACTTTTGTTGGTGATTCTACATCAGTAGATGAGAATAAAGGTTGGTGTGCTGGCCAAAAAAATTTCATTTTTTTTTTCAACTAATGTTCAAGGGCAGCTTGTTACCTAACCTTCTCTATACTCTACACCTCTTATGAATTGTTTGACTAAGTCTCGCACCCCTTTCTAAAAAAAAAGCAGTGCAATTAAATTTTTTTTTAAAATAGACTTTATTAATTATTAAAAAATTTAATTGCAAAGAGAACATTAAAGCTTAGAAAATAAACTTGTGGCTTATTTCATAAAGTAAAATGTTAATTAAGGAATTTTAAAGAATATATCAACATTTATATCATAAATGTTTTAAATCTTTCCTCTGTACTTATAATTGTTTATCTTCACACCATCCACCCCTTGGGGTTAGAGAACTCTATGTTGGGAAAATGCATTCAACATTTAAGGCCAACATTTCATTTACATTTATAGAGATTTTTATTTGCTACATTCCAGTGAATAATCTTCAACTTTTCATTATTATAGGTAAAACAGTGTTTGAAACGAACTCAACAGTAGAGAAGAGTAAAAAGAGACAACGGGAAAAGAACAAAGATCCCGCTGACATAGATGGTTACTTAGGCCCATGGGCAAAATATAAAGATGAAGAAACAATCTCCAGACCAAGTGAGGTAATGAAAAAACAGATAAGCTTTGTGACTTTCTTCTTTTAACTCTAATGGATTCTATTCCTAAACAGTTTATCAAAGTACGGTTGAAAATATCAGTGAAGGCTTGTTTATTTTATTTTAAATTCATAATTACCTTTAGCACAAGGTACCAGAATATAAACGTGATTTAATGAAAAAATAATCTGTGCTATGTTAAGATGTTTTCTCATTTTGTGACTTCAAAACTAGAAAAGCTTTTGTTATTAGCAAAGTGTCAAACTTAAAACTTAAGTAAAATTATGGGAATAAGATTACATCTGAAATAATTTCTTTTTTGCAAAGCTTCGATCAGAGTTGTCACTAAGTTGTCATGTGAGGGATGACATTAAAATTACAGTCCATAAATGTAGGTGCAGTGTTTCAGCAAAATTGTATTTTCCCCACATAGCCAGTTTTTCCCCTCACAAGATTTGGTATTTAACATATCTACAAGACTTAGAGCATGAGATTTGATTTGTGGAATCTTTAGTTGTATATATTTCTTTGAACCAATGCACAGTTTTATCAGTTGTATCTTTTGTGGTGTGGATGATCAGTTTTTCTTCAGTCCAGGGTTTCTGGGATAAAGTTATTGCACTAAAACATGACATATCATAATACTCCCACCTTTGTTCAACTGGCAGAGAAGGAGCACAAGAAGGAATTCTCTTCTGTCTAGTTTCAGTATTATCTTGTAGGGTGAAACCATGAGTTAAGGCATCTGGTGGGAACAAATGAAAATCAGTGTGATAGAAAAGCATTCTTATGTGATGTATAAACTATCCAACAGGAAGAACAAAAGGAATTGGATGAAATTCTGGCTAAAAGAAACAAGACTGGAAAACAAATGGAAGAGAAACCTATGGAAGAAAAATCAACATTACATGGTGAGATGCTTTGTTTAATTTATAATTCAGCTAAAAAATAATATCATCTTTTTTATTTAAGCTTAACTTATTTGGAGTTTGAATACTTTGTGATAAGGACTTTTTAAAAATTAGAATTATTATGACACATCAGTTTTAAATATTAATGTACTCTGACAAAGTTAATTAATGCTCTATGACATGGTTCTAAACTGAAAACAATTTATTAAATGAAAATTTTACCAATTGGTGTTTGAAAAAAATCTAGTCCTTGAACAATTTTTGAGAATTATTTACTTTTTATTTCTACAGTCAAAGATGCTTATGATTACCAGGGAAGATCATTCTTGCATCCCCCACAGGATGTCGGGGTGAACCTGAAATCAGAAGAACCCCCAGAGAAATGTTTCCTCCCAAAGAAATTAATCCATACATGGGCTGGTCACACAAAAGGAATTGCAGCTATAAGATGGTTTCCGAAATTTGCACATCTAATTTTATCAGCTGGAATGGACAGCAAAATAAAGGTGTTTAGAAAAATATTTTCAGCCTTTTTTTACAATTTTTGTAGTTTTAAATTCTTGTTGTGCAAAATCTTTTCTAGTTTATGGATTTGAGACCTTTTGTGTATCTCTTGACCTTGAAATGATTTATTTAAGTATTAAATTATTTTTAAGAAATAATTTTGTGTTCAAAACAGCTGTTTGGCTATTAATTTGGTAAATATAAAGATGTGACAGTTTTTATACTTGAATTTTATTCAACCTTGTTTTGAATCTACCTTATTTCTTACAAGAAGAAAAGAAAAAGGGAATTGAGACAGAAATGCACACTTTTAGTCCCTGAAAATAGGGGGCAAATGATGTGTGCATGTTATACGCCGATATAATGTTTATTTTTTTTCCCTGAAATTTCCTTCTTAAATTGAGGTGCGTGTTATACGCCAATAAATACTGTACTTAAAAATTTAACTAAAATGATTAAAGTTTGATGAATTTTTGTGCTTTTTAGATCTGGGAGGTGTACAAAGAACGGAGGTGTATTAGAACCTATACTGGTCACAAACAAGCTGTCAGAGATATTTGTTTCAACAATGATGGCAAAGAGTTTCTCAGCTGTGGTTATGACAGATATTGTAAATTGTGGGATACAGAGACAGGTAATGTTTAACTCCTCAATTTTTAAGGAGGAAATAAAGAATAATGTATTTGTGTGCAAAAAATTATAAAATAATTTCAGCAAATTTCAGACATAGGTGGTTTAAAATTAACAGCTGTCCTTACAACTTTGCTATTTGTTTATGTGGCACTTTCAAGTAAATTGTTCATTTTATCCAGTCCAATGGCACAAAGGTAAATTACTTTTTCTTAAGCATAATCCATTGAAGGCTGAGTTAATTGTACTATTGGACTCATATAAGTTCTATAGACAAGTTGAAGAATGCTGTATGGTAAAATTAAAGGCTTAACAGCCTTAAAAAAACAATTATAAGTTTTTTAATAAATCTACTTGTGCAAGATGCTTCCAATTAAAAGTATAATAATGTTAAAACATTCCCTGTAATTATTTTAATTCATAATTTTTTACCAGATATCTTTAACTTTATCTCTAAGGTGAATGTAAAGCCCGCTTCACAAGTAGGAAAGTTCCGTACTGCATTAAATTTCACCCAGAAGAGGACAAACAGCATTTGTTTGTTGCTGGAACTTCAGACAAAAAAATTGTTTGTGTATGTAACTATTTTTAAGTAATTGCTTCAATTGATTCTGTTGATTTCTATGTGAATTAATCTACTTCATAACAGTTTCCTTACACAGTTTCCTTAATTTGGAATGAAAGGGCAATTTATTGGTCAGGAAATTGCAACTGTCTTACAAAACTTCGAGCAACATAGGATTAGACTTAACTTTTATCAAGCTCTACAATTATTATTCAAGTTATAATTTTTCTTGTTTTTTTAAACTGACAGCAACTTAATTACTTTATTACTTCAATATTACAGTGGGATATTCGCTCGGGTGAGATCATTCAAGAGTACGACAGACATTTGGGACCTGTCAACACAATCACATTTATCGACCAGAACAGACGGTTCGTATCTACTTCAGATGATAAAAGTCTTCGAGTCTGGGAATGGTGAGTAAATATAAATTAAATTCAACCTTTAAACGAACACTTTTTTTCCCCCAGTTTGTGATTTTGTATCATAAAAATGAAGGGATCTTCTTTATCATATCACAGGACTGCATTATCAACCCTCATTATTCTGTAGTAAATAGAATCACATAATGGTTTTTAAAAAATGAAAATTTTGCATGAGTTGTTTAGTACTTAACTCTTTTAACAAAAGATAATGAATTCCGTTTCTCACTTGGTGAGGATGTATTATAATATTAATATGATTGATTCCTTAGGAAATATCTTTGTGTGCCTATCTTAATTTTAAGTAGAGACAAAAAGGTTTCCCCCTCCACAAATGCATAATGGCAGAATAAAATTTGTAATAGAACTAACACAGTAAACTGTTAACATATTTTGCGTAAAATAATAAAATAAATTTACTTGTTAAGTTTCAAGAAATTATTTTCATTTACTAATAATACATATCGTCTAATGAAAATTTTCTATTCCAGGGATATTCCAGTTGATTTCAAATATATAGCAGATCCTTCCATGCATTCTATGCCTGCAGTTACGTTGTCACCCAATGGTAATTCCAGTTAAATTTTAATCTAGTCATTCTTATATTCTTGACAGCAAATTAAATCTTTGTCTGTATAATTATTGCATTCATTTATCATTTTAAATTTCAAATTTTTAATATCATATTTTTTTAAAGTACTGTAAGTTATTGTGTATTAAATAGGTTTGTTTAGCAATGGAACGCAGTGTCTTTAAAATAGAGACGTTTTGGATATTTCCAGCTGCAAATATAATTTTAATTTCTAAATACTGACAGTAAAATAAGTGAATTTTAGCAGACTTGATATACAGTACTTGAGAACATTTATTTATTTAATTTTTAAGAATTTGTCACTTAAAGTTATATATTTTTCACATGACACTCTTTCAGGTAAATGGTTGGCATGTCAGTCCATGGACAACAAGATCTGTGTGTTCAATGCTCTCAACAGGATGAAATTTATCAGGAAAAAAACATTCACAGGCCACATGGTAGGGATTGGTTTCTTACAAAACAAAGACAAAATTAGATGAGCTTTCATCTAATTAGAATAATTGTTAATGAAAGTATACCCGTTAGGGTTAGCCCTGTAAGCAAATTGGCCACATATTCAACAATCAGCCTCAATATAATGGCCGCCCAAATTTTAATATGGTATTTTATAATGAAATAGAAGTAATTTACTATCTTATAATCTATCATAATTAATAACAATTGAGGAGCTGCTATTTGGGTTAAGAGAAGTGAGAGTTGATAATTGAAATAACTGTAGGAAGAGGAGAAGTTAGAGCATCTCTGGTTGCCAATATTTTGAACCTTAAACCTGAAGCTAGCAAATAAGTTTCCTAACGTTTATGGAAACTGGACGCTAATGCAGTTATGTTTAATGCACAAGTGACATGGTTTGAAATATGCCATGACATATTCAAGTGTCAGCTCAATAGATATTGTGCAAAGCAGCACCTGGGAAAAATAGCACCAAGCACTTTTATGCATAAACTTATTGTTCATGTCATGGGAAATGAAGGAAAAAATTTCATAGATATTGTAAAAATGTATATCATTTTTTAAATCTGAAAAAAAACCATTACCATATCTAGTTTGGCCCATGATGAAGTTGTCACAGCTCAGTCACACAGTGAAATGGCCATAATACACAGAAATCTTTTAATTTGATTTAAATGTGACGACACTCATAAATTGGTCAAATGGCTGTGGACATTATTTGGCTATTAATCTTTATTCCCAACAGTTGCTCCTTAGTGTAGATTTCTCATAAAATCATTTTCAAATATTTTATATTACAGATTTAAAGTATTTTCCTCTGTAATGTACATGGTTAATGTTTTGTTTCATAGGTGGCTGGCTATGCCTGTGGTATTGATTTCTCTCCAGAAATGAGGTAAGTAAAAAAATTACATAGTATGTTTCTTTTAATTTTATTTTCTCTTTCTGGTTACGCTTAAATTAAAATCAATCCATTACCAAAATATGTGCATTTCTTTTTAATATTTCACTTTAGTTTTATTGTAATTAAAAATTTAATGCAAAGTGTATTACTTTTGACAGCTATATCTCATGTGGGGACGCTGATGGAAAAGTTTACATATGGGATTGGAGGAGCACCAAGCTTTATTCAAAGTTTAAGGCTCATGATGATGTCTGCATTAGTGTTTTGTGGCACCCCCATGAGACCTCAAAGTTGGCAACAGCAGGATGGGATGGGGTTATTAAATATTGGGATTAAATTATCAATCAAACTGATTTGTATGGGTTTTTTGGGGGGGGGGTTAAATGCTGACACTAAACTATTAAGTTTGCAAAATCTTGAAGAGTTAATTTCAGCAACAGTTTGATACTTCATGATATTTAATATAATGGGCCATTTCAACTAAGCCAAAAGTTATAAAATAAATAATGAGAATGAAATGTAATTTTATTCCTTTTGCCTTAGATAAATAGCTGATTAAGAAATATCTGTATTCGAAACAATGCTTGTTTGTCCAAAGAATTAAAATTTGGGAATGTTTTAGGTCTTCGCCAATTTTAAAATGACTAATGATTTGATGAATTCTTTTATGCTGACACATTTGTTTGTATATATAATTAAATGATTTAAAATACAACACATGTATTGTTGAGTCCACTTATTCTCATCTTTTTTGAACATCCGTCTTGTCAATAAATATTAAAAAAGACCTGTGAATTTAATCTAATTTTTAATGGCTGGTAATCACTGGTAATACAATATCAGAAGTGTACATTTTGTTCCACAAAGATAAAAGTTGTTTTGGTAAAAAGTTGGTAAATCTTAAACACTCTCTAAAAATTGACAGTATCTAAATTTCTTTGATATTCAATAGCCTCAACTTAGCATCATTATATAAAAATGAAACTTCATTCCTACAAAATTTTAAGTGAAATCTTTTTGTTCCCTAATAAGGATTCTATTCAATTATTTTATCAAATTTATTTTGCACTTTTATATTTATAATTGTATTCTCCATATTAATAGATTTGTTTAACTATTTTGAATTTAAATAGTTAATGATTTTCTTTCAAATCAGGAGTAAAATCTGCTTTAAAAAAATATATTTAGGGGTAATGGCTAATTAATTTGCAGACCCCTGAATTAGAATATTTAAATATGAATCTAATAGCCATGACAAGAAATAAAGGACTTGATAAGAGGAATTTTAAAATATCAATAGTTTTGTCTCCAATATATATTATGTAATGTTTAAATTAATGTGTTTAATAAATGAACAATTTTAAGAGTTTTAAAAAATGTAATTAAAGCAGTTTCTTAAAATTTATTTTTACTAAAATTCAGTGATGGGGAAATCACCTGGCTCTTCCCTGTATTGGTAGTAATAATTACATATTCAATTTTTTTAAACAAAGTTAAATATATTGATTTTTAGCAGGAATTCATTTATAAATTAATGTACAATTTAAAAAAAAAAACAAAGAACCGAATGTGCTTTGTAAATGTATGTAACATTTTTTTAATGTTAATAATTTTTTACTGCTACAGTGCTAACAATAGTAATCTTCTATAGTAGTGTTTCCCAAAACTTTAAGTTAGGCTGACCAGTGGACAGGTTTTTAAATTACACCAGAGGCTGTTGCCAGATTTATTTATTTATTATTTTTATTTGACCATAAATATAATGTTGTAAGACTGGCAAAGTAAGGCTAGCAGATTGGTTTCGGTACACAAAGACCACTTTTGAAAAGATTTTTCTATAGGATTAATCTAATAATTAAAATGTAACTCATTAAAATATATTCAATAAATCTTAAAGTATAGAATAAATTAATCAAAAATTAAATTGACGGAAATTACATCTAAACATGAAAAACAAATTAAAAATTCACAGCATTACCGTTGGAGTAAAGAAATAAGGTTTGCTAATTCTTTTATTTTAAATTAATAATATGTTAAGATGTCTTTTAATATATCATGGGCATTTAGTTTCCAGAAGTGGTTAGATTAGGTATATTTTGTATGTCTGCAGCAATAAAAATGTCTGACAATGGACACCACAAAAACAGAGCAAAAATATAACCCTTTTCTGTGCTTTTTAACAGGTTTTTACAAAAAAATGAATCACATTTTGAAACAATTACAAGATCAAAGGGCATATTCATTTTAAAATAAAAGATGCTGTAATTTGTAATGGATAATATTCTTGGACAAAGTGTTAAAGATGAAAAAAATATAGTTTGGAAAACTATATATGTGGAATGTACATTTCTTGCATAAAAAGTCAGTTATTAAAAAACCAGTCAAAGAAGATATCTGTAGTATAGGCAACTAATTTGGTGCTTTCAAACAGATGTTACATTTCTGAACAAGACATATTTACACAAATGCAACTTTTCAGACAATTTTATATTGAGAATATTAAAAAAAATAAAAATAAATCATAAGTACATAAAACAAGAATACAAAGACAAGGCTTTCTTTTATTGCACCCAGAATAATACTAACAGTTTGAAATGGAGTAAATAGTCTTTAAGAGGATTTAGAGTTATATTTATATAAATAATATAATGGAGCAGAAGTTTACAGTAAAGAAATATATTATAAATGCTCATTAACGGTTTTTATTTAGTTCTCCAGTTAAATTATTAAAGGTAATATTGTATCATAAATTCACACCTATAAAAAAAAAAAAGCAAAAACCAATAAGCACTAAAAAGCAGAGGAATTCTTCAGAAAGCTAATATGATTAAAAGATTAGCAAATAAATAAAAACAAAATAAGACACAAAGTGGCATCCCCGTTCATTTAGTCGCGTCCCATTTCGTCTAAGTGTGTAACGAGAAAGACTTTGTAATAGATACATCTGCCATTTTAATCCAAAGCTGTTACAAACTATATTTAGCAAGAGGGAGTATTATGCATTGAAAAATTAGCATGGTAATACATTTCTGTGCTATAGTAGCAGAGGGAGTCTGTTTTTTTACATTGCCTCCCTTTTTTTTTGTTTATTGCATGTTATGTAACTAAATTCATTTGACTTATCCCATCTTCATTTAGATTATATCCTCTTTTTAAATCCTTTCTAAAAACCTGTTTATTGTAAAATATGAGATTGTCATTGTGGTACAGACTGATAAACAGTGTTCAAGCATTTATACTGAGTAACTCAAACTTTACTAAGTCAGTGCACTGGTACTTGAGTCACCAAAACCTAAGACACAATCTATCAAACAAGGACAGCTCAAGTTTCATCTCTACATCTAGTCTTAAAAGCAAGGGGCGAACAGAATCATTGTTTGGGAGAAAGTTTAGCCTCTAAAAATAAAACAAAGAAAAACTAAATTTAATTAGCCACCGTATGTATGATACTATTGAAATGTTTGGTGATGATGCAGCAGTAGTCGTAAGCCCTGTCGTAAGAAAGTTTTTATCCGCGTCTAATATACAGAGCAAACTGGGTTCTCAAAAGATCATGTTTTACCAGAGTCTTGTTGAAGTCATACAGCTGTCCCCAGGCTGTGCATGTTACGTGAACCAGCTGTTCATCCTTCAGAGCTGGAAACTGAACAAACAACGCTGGTTTCAAAAATGGAAGCGACATGTCTCTTCTTCTATAAATATAGGAAGGGAAACCAGTGTTTGGGAAATAGAGAATCCATTCTTGGTTCTTTTTATATGGTGGCACATCAGTGAGAAATTTCACATCTTCAGGTTGCTAGTGAGAAATGAAATATTAGTTTTGAATTTAGAAGTGAAAGTATTTTTCAAGCTCAGGTGTGTGCTAACAAAGGAAATTAAAAAAAAAAAAAAAGACATTAGATATTTCACATTAGTTGTGCCAATGTGGAATATAAACTTTATCTTAATAAGTTATAATCCTGCTTTGTTATTTCATGAGTTTTAATGCTATATAGTTCATCAGTTGAAACAAACTATGACCACCTTAATCATTGTATATGCTAAATGTTACGCACTGACTTGTTTTGGGAGAAATTAATCTCCTATTTTAATTGGCTCGTTGTAAGCAGTGCCTAACAAAGGACAATACCATAGAATCAACAATATTAAAGATACGACCCAAAACAGTTTCTAGTTACAATTAATAAGATTTAATATGTCTTAAGATAATTACAAAAGAAAAGAAAATATAATTACAATCTTCAACTTACAGTATGGTAGATCTTGAACCGGTACACAGTTAACACAGTTAGAATAATGTGCCAATAACTAATGCGAAATAAACACATATGAGCACACAAATACACAAAGAATATAACACACCTCTTAATGTTAAGAAAATCTATCTGATCTCCGTCTCCTTGTATCTATCAATCCTTTATATACATGTAGCGTAAGACGCTTCCAGAAGGACCTATGACATGTTGTTTACATATCTCGGGTTAAGGAGTACATTCGAGAAGTTACCCGGAGACATTCTACCCAATGCGTAATTGGAAGCCGATTGTAAACACGATACTTCAAAGAGATTTAGCCACGCCCACAACAGACGTTACTGTCTGCTAGGAGTGTACTACGAGGTTGAGGAAAGTTCACGCACAGGAAATTGTGCTTCATAACACTAAATATGCACTTGGATGTGGGTGCGCAGATGGCTTATGAGACAGATTCTGGCACGAAATGTTATTGTGCATTAAGTGCAGGGAATTGATGGGACATCTCTAGATGCAGAGTTAACCCTGGATTTATTCGGGCATGTCTTTTGTGCTCTATGGCCGCTGTTCTTTTGGCATCATGTTGCATGTAGCCTTTGTGTACAGAGGAATGCCACGATGCTTGGTCCTTGACACTTCTTCCCATGTGTCAGTGTTTGTATCCAAGTCTTTCAGTGAGGCTTTAAGGGTGTCTTTAAGGCATTTCTTCTGGCTATAAGCAAACCGCCTTCCATGCTCAAGCTCACCATAGAATATTCCTTTGGGCAAGTGGTTGTCTGACATTTGCTCAACAAGTCCCATCCAGCGAAGCTGGGACTACATTAAAGTGGTTAAGATGCTGTGGAGGCAACTTTGTGCAATTACCTGGGTGTCTGGGAAACTGTCCTCCCATTTGATGTTCAGGATTTTTATGAGACTTGTCACAAAAGGGATTCAAAATTTTTAAATGGAGTTGATAGACTGTTTACGTATCAAATGGATAGAGAAGAGCAGGGTGCACTGACCCCTAGTATACCTTCATTCACTCCGAGTTTTCCCCCCTTCTTTGTATATTTCAGCTGGGATCGAGTCATAACCTGGAGCTTTTTCACTCAAGTTTTCATGAGTTTTAATGGTATGAACTGATACAGAGTGGTGTGTTCCAACGCAGGGCCCATGTGCAGCCCTTCAAGTTGTTGAATACCAACCTTAGAATCTACCTATCTACCTATTGTTATAATTATTTGGAAATGCAATTGCAGTGTTGATAATTCTGAAATGTGTTTTTTTCAAAAATGAATCTCTTCAATTTTATCATTTTATTCAAATTTAATTTAGACTTCTTGAAGGTCAAAGGCTTAAAATTTTAAACTAATTATTAAACAATGTGGTGCCCTTTACCTAAAAAATAGTAAAAAATAAATAAATTAACACTTACAGTTCCAGCACAAGTAACTGGCACACGTGAAGAGTCAGAGTAGCCTGCTGGTTGTGCTTTAGCTATTTCCCAAAGTGGAGAGTCTTTTGAAATAGGTGTAATAACTCTGTTATCTGGCTGTAAATATAAAAATATCAATAACCTGCCTATACTATAATTATAAATTAATGTTGAAACACATGTTCAGGTATTTTAATTAGGTTATATTTAAAAATTATTGGCTTTTACAAAATTTAGTGAAAATGTTTATTGTTTATATTGTTCAGAAAAGTGAAATAACTTTTGACTACGTTAATTCATATTACTTTTGGGATGGTTGATATAAAAAGCTAAATAAAAAATTATATATAAGGACAAAAGGTTTTCATAAAACACTAATAATGAAGAGTAATCCATTTTTGGAGGAAGAAGTATTACATACCAAATTGAGCTGAATGAAAACACAAGGCTGAGCATCTGAATACCCATATTTATTTTGTTCCGTGCACACAGATCCAAATTGTGTTCTTTCATTCTTACAAGTTTTATTGAATGGTTGGTAAGTGGAGTTGCATGTTACAAAGTCATCACCCAATTGTTCAGTTAACAGGTATCCTAAAATGTCAAAATAAATGTTTAAAATGCACTCTAAATATTAAAATCAAAATATAACAGAAATAGGAATGAAATTGTTCAAGACCTGCCTTGTGCTTAGTAATGTTAACATGTAGGTACTTACCGGTCAGTCAGGGGTTGGTAATGAATTTTTAGCAATCATTTATAATATGGTAAAGGAAAGTTAATGGTCTTTCACAAGACTAATTGTAACTTTGTTTTATTTATTAGAAGAAATCAGACTATAAATATCTTATTTACAGTGTTGAATGCAAACTTAAACTTTAAACAGTAAAAAAAAAACATTCACTACGAAAGGAAGGAAAAGTTAGACATTTTTGAACGAAAATTGAGTTTGAGGCCAATCAAAAGTTTTGGGACTAAGTGACATAGTTTGAATCAATCCACTTCTGTCAGTAACAATGATGTAAAAAATAATTTTAAATGTTGAGGGTGTGCTTAAAATTAAAACTAAGATTTATACTCATGATCCAATAAGAATTTTATAAAAGGATGCCTCATAGCAGAAGGTGACATGTAGATACAATGAATAATAATAAAGTCACTGTTTGATGTTCATTTAGTCTTCTCATGACATCCCTTTATATAACAAGCATATTTCATTTTCTTTAACACTATTACTTAGAAAGATTAATATTTTATGATACAATATATTCTTAAACCAGTAAATCAAAATCTAATATATATATAAAGTGTGCAATCACTGTGAACTGTGTACATAATTATAGTTCTCTAGGATGTAGGGGAAGTGGTTAAAAAGAGCTTTAAGTGGAATAAGCCTACAATAATAACTCAAGCTTTAACAAATCTGTCGATAAAGAAGGCAATGTAAGTCTGTTTAAGATCATCATAAAATATATTGAGATTAAAATAATTTACCTTCAGTCACGTTATGCAAGGACCATACATTTGTTTTTACATCATCAATGTTCTCAGGATTAAATCTTATTAAAATGCTCTTGTTTGCTGGATAAAACACAAGGCCTGTTGAAAGGGGGAAAAAAATATATTTAAAAGATTCATTTTAATTGTTCATCAACTTAATATTTTGTATATAGGTGGGGAACTTAAAATTATTATGGATGTCATCCCATAAATTTGAATAGATCCTGGCTGTAAAAATTCAATAATCACCAATAATAAGTACACATATTTTTTAAGCATGGTTAATGTGCTTAAAAAAACAAAAAAAAACTTCTCTGCAATTTTGAAGTGTGATTTGAAATCCTTGTTTAGTTTCTTCCAGCTTTTAATAAATAGCTACAATCTATTTGTGTGGTGATTTATATTTGTAACAACTCATTTAAGGCTGATAGTTACATGTTGTCATTTCATTTCTTGGTGTGTTCATTAACTCTTAACACTGTAAATCTTTATATTTTTATTTTTCAAAATTTGTCTTGTGGCTGATGATCAATTAAATATTATTGGCTTTATTTTTGGCTTTAGTTGTCTCAGTAATTTACTCACACTTCACCATTCTACACCTGAACTATATTTATACAAGCAACTAAAATAGTTTATTTTTTTTTCCCCTTGTCTAAATATTTTGATACATATTTACTAACTGTTGTTTGGGTCCCAATCAGGTTCATCTCCTGTTGGATGCCTTGTTGGATGCCCTCCTTCTTTCTGACTTGTAGCACCAATTACAATAGATATAAGAATAACAATGCACAACACAGCTAAGGTGATAATAACGCACCAAGGACGCTTGCGTAATTCATTACAAAGATATTTAAATCTGAAATATAGAAGTATTTTTAAAAATAATAAATATATTAGATTAAGATGGTACAAATTCCATTAATATTATATTAATATGTAACTAGAAATATATACGCATGTGTCTCCAAGGTGAACATTGCAAGAAATTCATTAATAAAATTAGAAGTAGGTTATTATAATTTTCCTTGATTTTGGGAAGGGGGGCGAGTTGAAGGAGTGAAAGACTTAAACAATACAAATTTCATTTCATAAAGACATAAAAATGAAGGCAGAAACCAAAATACTATTTATGTAATGGTGTCCTTTCCTAAAGTTTTGGAATCCTGCCCCTTCTTTCTTGCATTGCAATATTTTATGACTATAATAATTACCTTGAACTCCCTGTATAAGTTTTGTACCTCAGAGGAGGTAATGTCAGCCCCCAATCATCATCAGTCAGTTTAGTGAAATCGGTAGTTGTGATAGGGTCATATGGATTAGCTGCCATGTCTAATGATAATGTTTAAGAAGGTATATTTCATAAGCCATCTTTCATAGTTTCTTTCAATATATTATGTTAAACACCTTTAATTAACAGTATGAAATTCCTACTCTTCACTTTATCTCATCTATTGAATAAACTGTATTAATGGACAAAAATCACACTTGAATTCAAGTACAACATAATATACAAAACTTAATAAACTTAATGTTTATTTTATTAAAAAATTATGGCTTAATTAAATTACTGAATTATATATATTCATAACAAATGATCAAGGCCAAGGCTCTGATTTTTATTACAAAATAAATAATTCTCAAAGATAATGACTGTATACAATCATGTTGTGGATTTATTTCAAAATCTAATCAATGTAATATTTTTTAAAAACAATTTTATCCAGTGCCATGGCTGAGTGGCCACAATTTGAATAACTGATCGTTAATGTTTTCACTCCCCTTTAACCTAATTTAGTAAATAGATTTTTCTTTTGAATTCTCAGGGTACAGAACTCCTAGGGCCAGAACTTGCTGTGATTACCTCTTTAATCTTTATTTTAATGTTTTTAATTTTAGCAGAACCAACACATGGGGCCTGCAACCCCTGTGGCTGTAGGGGGCCTGAGATATTTTTAAGTATTTAAAAGGGGCCCAAAGATGTGGTGTGGCACCAAAAATGTAAATTTAGACAAAAGCACATTCACATAGCATAGCCTACTTATATTATAAAAGTGAATAAGATTTCAAAACTAGGTTAATCCATAAATTGATTTAGTTTTGTTTATGCTCCACCACCATATCTACATAGATTAGAATAAGTTAGGTGCAATTTATAATTATAAGCTTTATCATTAGTTAAACTTCTGGTTAGGCATTTATTAGGGGCATTTGTCATGACTTCTTATGAAAAGAAATAACCAGTGACTGACTCAACTGACTGTGCTAATCACTAATCAGACTAACACTAATATTCCTTGCCTAGTAGTAATAGTAATGATTTGAACTTGTGTTTTAATAGCTTTAATTTATTAATAGGGGATAATTTTAATTATTATTTTTATTATGAAAGTTATTTGAACATCTAGAATCAAGTTGAAGTCTCCAGACCAAGTCCAAGGTTGAAAAAAATATCTTTAATTTCAAAATTTTGAAAAATGAATAATTTTAATAATCTAAATTCAGGAAATAATTTTCTAGAACAATTGAATAATCAATTATATTATAAATCTTAATTTAGGAAATCATCTTCATGGCAATGATTTAAAAAATGATTGAAATGGCTTTCAATATTGGCATTGGAATAGGCCTACTTATACTTAGGCCTATATTATATTATCATCATATTCATGACTATATGATGACACCATGATCATAATCAGCCATAATCAGATGATCGTAGTTAATAACTTTGAAGTTTAAAACTGTTACTACGCAATTTGAAGTCTACTTGAAAGAGCTTTTTGTTTTAAGGATATTTTTAAAAAATGTTTATGATGCAATAAAATAAATAAATATGGCTCTTACTCTTTACTTATTACTAGTCTTTACTTCCCTTGGTCAGTTAGCTAAGTTATAATATCGTTAGATATAATTATAAAGTTGTTACTAGAGAAAGAGAAAACTTCCGGCAGCCCAGGGTTTCGCGGCCAGTGGAACAAGTTAGCTTATTTTAGAAGAGGTATATAGTTGCACCGCTTTATTTCCGGGAGGAATGACTCACCTTATCACAGGTATGGTACATCCAGTTTTCTATCTTAAGGGAAGTAACTAAATAATTTTTACGAAGATCACATTTAAAATATATACTGCTCCCCCCTTTTCTAAGACTTAAATCTTGCAATTTTTTAATAGAAAATACATGTAGATATTACAAAATATCGATTGCCCTTCAATTAATTATAAATCATTCCCTTTGCCGTAGAAGTTTCAGTGAATTATAAAAAAAATATACACAAAAAGGGAATAATATCCCATACTGTCTCACAAAAAAACATTTCTCAGTCTCCAAGATTTTATTAAGTTACTCTCAGTAATTTTTCTTTGAACCAAAATCGGGACTAATTTTTGTTGTATTTTTTAAAATTAACATTTCAAACCTTTTATGCTATTATAATCTGCATTTTCTTTCTTTAGCATAACAAATTTATAGCAACAACAGTTTCTGAAGTTTTTCCATTAAACTGTCTCCCCCCCCCCCCCCCCCCAACATTAATTAAAAAATAAATAAATTTATATTTAAAAAAAGAACACTTTGGCACCAGAAACACCTACCATATGTATTTTTAAAATTAAAACATTTTCCAAAATAATAAACAGTCTTCAATAAAGTAAGTAAAATTGATATTTAAGCGGTAACCCAAAATGTATATTTTTGCAGTTTATATGAATTTGTGACTGCTACAGAAAATGATTTTGTAGAAAAAAAAAACAACAGCTCAATTTTTAAATATCTCTACCACTTGAAATTTGATAAAAAACGGTTCAGGCTTGTATTTTAGTGATCCTAGGCATTTTAAAATTTTCTGTGTAAAAACAGAAATAAACAGAAATTTATTAATGTGCCACATATGTTGTGTAATAAAATATTCTTTTTAAATTTTATTCATAGATTTTTATGATCAGTAAAATTTACTTTCAAAGGTTGCTTAATCTGTTGTGAAATGAAAACATAAAATCTTTTTTCAATTATTTTAATTTAATCTTTGACTGAAGAGAAAGGTTGCAGAAACTTTCAGAAAGAACCTTTCACTTAAGGATGACTGTTTTTAAATTCCCTAGATTTATTGCTAAACTTATTTTTGCACAGATCCCACATTTGTAATTTCATCTTAAGATTTGTTTGCATTGGGCACAACTCTTCCCTGAGAAAACCTGTCTTACTTGGCTAACAAATCTACTTCACCCAGCTATCTACCCTAGACCAAATTCAGATGTAAACATCCCCCCCCCCCACCTTTGGTAAAGGGGCAAGTTATTATGAATTGTTGCTTCTGTAAAGTAACGTTGATTTTAAGAGGCATTAAATTTCTGCTTAGGACACTTTTAATTTTGTTTAATTTTTTTGCACCATTTGAAGACCCTACAAAAATCTCCATTACTTTTATTTCCTTATAAATATTTTAAAAATGTTATAAAGTAAGTGAGATGCCCAGTGTATTGTAATGAAGGGTTGTAAGGAGTGTCTGATTCAGACCTTGTAATTTAGATGCTTCTCTAAATATCAGATAATTTAATTTTACCCAACAATCATGACATGACAATTTAAGTTCGTTCTTAAATAAATGAGGAAAGAATAACAATTATTCAATTCATTTTTAATGATAGCATTTGAGTTACTATACTTTGTGATCTTGGACAACATTAACTATCCAGTTTGACCATAACATGATGTAAAACTAGCAAATTTCTGCAATTCCTGTTCTGATACTGTTGGTCTATGTATCTCTAAAGACTTTAGAAAGTCTCCCATGTTTACATCTCTGGGGCTGATCTGCATGACAGCATAGAAATAAGAAAAACCAAATGATTTTTGCAATATTTTACACTATTTATAATTTTATTATTTGACATACACACACAAAATAAAAACACACAAAAATAAGTTTATTAGTTTTATGAATCTTTTTTCTGTTAGTGCAACCTACACATCTATTCAAATGAGGCAAAGCATTATAATATGACAATCGTAATTTATCACATGAAATATTCAACCTTATATATAACCTAAAATTTTTAATCCGTAGGAAAGATTAAGCTTTCCCCAACCCCAAACAATTATATGGCTGCCCTGGGATTTCATGCAGTCTACATAAAGTATTTTCATTTTTTTTAAAAAGAAAAGTAAACCAAAGCACCGCTGTAGAGATTATAGGAACAAACAAGTTAGATACAATCCAACAGTCAAATAAATTTCACTTTTAATTCATGAAAACATTGGTTTAATACAAACATTAAAATAAATTAATTATGTTATAATGTCTGGGTGAATAATTACCTTCTTTGGTGGCAAGTCTGTTATATTTGCTTTTAATGATGATTTACCAGTGTCATCACATGGCACCCATCTACCATCTAAACGAACATTGAAGTGAATTTAACTTGAGAAAATTGAGACTTATCAGCAAAAATAAATCTAAAAACAATAAATCACAACAGAAAAAAATAGAAATGACTCAATTGCAATTTATGAGGACCTCAAACTGATTTGAAAATAAAAATAATTCATTATAGCATTGGTGAAAATAAATTATTCTTTGATGTAGATGATTGAAAGACAGGATAAAATACATTTTTTATTTGCATTAAAATTACCATACCCCTACACACACAATGTTTTAATAAATAATGGAATAATTTTCAGCAGCATCAATTTGATCTGCCTCTGTCTAGAAGTTGTTGTCAATGCAGCAAAAGACATCCACATACCCTTGGTCTCATGCCAATAGTTTGCTGCTTGCAAATCTCTAATTGGTTGGAAGAGGCCACCATTGGTGAGTGTTGCCAAGTCACTACCAGAATATCCTTCAGTTAGATTGGCCAGCTCTGTCCAGTCATGGTCTGTAAGATTTACATGACTGCCATCGCAGTGAAGCTTCATTAGCTGGATCCGGGATGCACTGAATAATGAAAATATAAGACTTACAGCTTTTTTATGTCATGTTTATGTCAACTGTTCTTTGTTTTAATAACATGTCACATTATACTTTTTTTTTAATATACAAACCCTATTTAAACTTCTATTTTACAAAATTAAAATTAATATTAATTTGAGATGAATTAGCACCCTTTGAAAGTGAGCCACTCAAATAATTTAAATTAAAAGTTTTAACACTGAAAGCAATTCTATTTTTATTCGCTGAAATTTTTTGCAGGTTTTAACCAGCAGTAATTTAGCATAACGGTTTTAATGTATTCTCAATTTACTCATTATTTTTACTCACATAATAAAGTTATCATATAACGCTTGAAGAACTCATATGAAACAAATCAATTATGATTGAAAAATAACTATATCTTACTGATCAGGAAGAGGTATGTAGATCCTCTTCTGGAAGCGTCTTAAAAATGCTGTGTCCAAATCCCATGGACAGTTTGTGGCACAAAGCAAAAATATTTTGTCTTGAACTTGTCTGTCTGCTCCATCCATCTGGATAAGGAGCTCTGTCTTAATCCGTCTTGTACCTTCATCTTCCCTGGTGCTCCGCTGACGACACAAACTGTCTATCTCATCAATAAATATCACCTAAAATCATGAGATGGTAAGCTGTCAGTGGCATTAACATCAACAACTTTATAGATTTACTTTTTAAAAAAAGATTTAGCAAAAAACTGTACTAATTTAAAGGTTGTTGGGTGCGGACCAAAAGGGATGGAGCCATGGAAATTATGCTATGAGATAAATAGTTTTGTTATTTTTAAGTTGGAGACAGATAATAATACATTTAAAAAGCTGGTAAATATTATTATTTTAATAGAACCCTTCAAAACCAGTACAAAAAAAAAAGGATAATGTATCTAAAACACCACTTCAAATTTTATCTTATTAAGGTATACTCTTGTCAAAAGAAACAGTGTCACAAAATAAGTGTTTTTCAAGTATTTGTAATTTCTACATTTGTCTCCTGCTCATATTAGTGGATCTAGTAATCTACATTTACATGTGAGACTCATAAAATTGTAATTACTGATTGGCAAGTTTGATTGCTTGCATGATGGAAAAGTTCTTTGATCATCCTTGGAGAAAAAAAAATCAAGAGATATTTTTTATATAATGTATGTAGTAGAGATTGTTAAAAAAAAAAAACTAATTTGACAAATAATAGTTAGATTATTCTTTTCTTTACACATGTTGTTGCTCTCATCAATTATGATATTGTTGAAAAAAGAGTATTTGATTTTGTTAGGAAGTTAGATTATGAGTGCTTCATAAAACCTGTCATTTAAAAATATAATAGAAATATGCTCGAGATCAAAGGTAATGATTATAATCCAGAGATTTATGAACCCCAATGAGATTTTTCACAGATTCTCTATTCTATATTGGGGAAATATTAAAACCTTGTTTAATAAAACAAAACTTTGGTTGTCCTACTTTTCACTTTCTCCAACCCAGCTGGACATGAGATCAGTGCTGGATACAGAATAAAATGTAGCCTTGACCTCTGTGGAGACAGCTTGAGCTAGACGAGATTTTCCAGTCCCTGGTGGTCCAAAAAGTAAAATCCTTCTCCATGGTTTTCTCCCACCTAAGGCCACAAACCATACCAATGTTTAGTTAACTTGAACAGAATAATTTAAACTTCATTACATTGATTCAAATTTGTTTATCATTGGTCAGTTATTGATCATTCTCATTTCTATGTCCATACATCTGCAAACATTGTAGGCCCTATGCCTATACAGATACAATAGCTTTTAAAACAAAAATAATTATATGACTTGACTTTATTATATTTTGGGTTTCTTGAAATTTAATTAGTGGATGACAAAATAAATATAAATATAGATAAATATCAAATATTCCAAAATTTTCACAAATATCATATAGAGTTTTCCTGATTATTCTCTAAACTAAATATTATATTTGATTAATATAGTTTAAAAATAAATACTCTGCTCGTCATAGCATAGCAAAATTAAAAAGTGACACATTTAAAACTCACCTGAAAATAGATGGGGAAATACAAGCGGCATGATAATGGCATCTTGAAGTGAGCATTTGGCCTCTATTAGACCGACAACATCCCCAAAGTGGACTTGGCCATTCCTCACAATTGTGGCCTCAATTGCACAATGGCGAGATTTAGATTGCTTAGCCTCAAAATCATCTCCTTCTTTCATTGACTTCTGCACATCTTAATATTTAAATCATTAAAACAGTTAACTTTTTAAAAATCTTAATTCTTCAGGATTTATTTTAGGTGTCTGTTTTTAATGTTTTCATGTTCTGTGCATTTTGTATTTTGCTTTTACGCTCACCTGGTGAACTGAAACTTTCATTATTAATACTGCAGAGCTCCAATGCAGGTCTTTTTGTTGAAGAAAGGCCAGCCCTGAAAGCTTCATTCAGCTGAGTTATCTTTTTGTTCAGAATGTTAGAATGTGAAGAAAGGCTACTAGACAAACTTGTCAGAGCATTCTGATTTAAATTGATAAAAACAATTGTGAAGAGTAAGGCTAAAAAATATGCTTTAATGAATTTAAAAAAAAGGTTTTATTAGTTACGTGAACCTTTTAAACAATAAATATGTTTCATATTTAATTATAATATTTGAAAAATAAGAAAATTTCTAATTAACTAGTATTCTTTTCAGGTGTAATTACCATCAGAATGATGATTTATTTGAAACACATTATTATAAATATTACAAAACAGATTTTCTTCACTTACTGAAAGGAATGCATCATTTTCAGTTAGTCTCAATTGTTGGACAATAGAATCACATTTTTGAACATTAGTTAGCATTAGTTGGATATCTACATTGCTTGCTTTGCGTCCTTCACCAAGTGTTTGCTGTAGGCTGGTACAAACAATTGTTTCAGGATCATTGTTATAAGTGTAAAGGGAACATGTGGCTAAGGAAATGTGAAAGCTTTATTAATAACACAACAAATTAATGAACAAGTCTAGCAAATCCGTTTTCAACAAACAAGCAATTACAAGTAAAAATAAGAGGTAATTTGAAAAATTTAATTGAATAAACGTAGTTTAAACCACAGAAGAAGCTGAGTACTCCATTTCATCAAATTATAAAAGTTTACTGCTTCTATAAATCAAATTATTCAACATTTAGATTACCGATTTTGTGTCCATGTATGCATATGCGTGTATCCACATGTTAGTTTTATAAAGTAACCTGTGTACACAAACTTTTACTCTACAGCCATATTTAAATCTTTGAGTATTTATACACACCAATGTCAAATATCAATGCAAATAGGAAATTACATCATAGTGAATGCTCATAAAACTACATTTTTAGAATGCATATCTATGACCCAGTTTTTGGTTCTTAACTGTGAATTAAGTGAACATAAATACTTTGTTGAATCTTATAAATTTCATATGCTCAGCCTTGGATAATTGTCAGCTGAGTAAATCAATACCTTTTCTCTTACCATGTAACTGCATCTATAAAGAAAAGAAAAACTATTTGTTCTTAAATGTGTTTAAAATTAATATATAAAGTTACAAAATTTGATTATCAGTCTTTAACACCCCCCTCCCCCCCCCACATCTCAATTCCTACCCCAACCCCCCAATCTCCATTCCTATACCATATTCTCCAGCAAAGTTTGATTTATGATTAATGTAGGCAATTTAAAAGAATAAAGTCCACAATTACATTATAGTACCTTCAAATATTAATTTAAAGCACATTGTAAAAGATAATATCAACTAGTAATATCTTTGCATTAATAAATAGGGGGCTACCAGTTTTAAAGCCGATATTGTTTACATAAAGGAGCAAGCTTTAAAAAAATCAAAACCCATAAAGAAGATGATAGCCTTATGATGCCATAGCAATTATGGACTAATAAAGAGCTGAAGTTTGGAATTAGTTAATGTTTATTTACTTTATTTTCAATATTTGTAAAAAGTAATAAATAAGCCATGGTCCACACCATAGGCAGTGTCATTCTCAACTGGCCATTTTATATCGTATTCAACTCAATAGGAGGACTTGGTAGGCTACTTTTATAAAACGCTATGATGCAGGCAAAGATTTCTGCCGCCTTCCGCCACAAATGCTGCCCCCTCCCCCACAAGATAAAAGGAAAAAAAGTGCAGCCCGGGCATATCACCCCTTCTCCCCACCAATCCTTTTTTTTTTTTTTTAAATTTAAAGCTTAAAATTAAAAGCTAATGATAATGTCTTTAATTTAACAGCAGATATGTCGTTTAAAAAAAATAAATAAATAAAATATTTTATCGTAAATATAGGAAGAGTATAGAGTCTAGTCTATCACATCATTATTTCAAAAAATTATTTTTTTTCTTTTACACATGTGTGAAGATTTTTAAGAAAAGATAAAAAAAAGAAATAAAAAGTTCTCTTCATTTTTTGAACACGGATTCAGAATTAGAAGGCAACTTAATTAAATGTAGCCTTCCGGCCTTTAAAGCGTTTAAAAAATTGTTATTGAAATAATTAAACTGATGCGATTTTTTTACATTTTAAAACAAAGTAATTGATGTTAAGGTGTGTGCAAAGTTAATAACAAAATTATTTGTACCCATAGCTAGACCCATGTAACTTCCAAGATCTTCACGCTCCATAATTTATCGTCTGCAAGATTTCTAAGAAAGGGGAGACTATTCTTAATTACCTTGAATAAAAAAAATAATAATATTTGAATAACTGTTAATGACCCCTTAAAAATTGAAAAAAAGTAATTTACAAATTTGTTATAGCACAAGCCAACACATACATACACACACACATACACATCGACAAACGCATATGGCATATATATATATATATATATATATATATATATATATTTACAAAATCCAAGGTGCATTGTATGCTTTGGCTTTACGCATTCACTTTCGAAGGAAATGCTCTTTTTTTTTTATGAACGCATTATTTTGTTTTACTATATAGTATAGAGTAGAGTGCGTTCAAAAAGAAATTTGACTAAAATTTTAACGTGTGAACTAAAAAATTTTTGACCAAATTTCCGTTCGATCAAATTTCCGTCTATCAATTTTCCTTCGACGAAATTTCCTTCAAACAAATTCCGGTAACTACCAAAGACTGGTCAAACTAGTCAAACGCATTTCCAGCGATCAATACCTGTAGCCTATAGCTAATTCACGGTATTCGTTGCGTTGTTATTATTATCATGTTATGGCGAAATAAAGGCATTATAAATTTAAAAAATGAAAACAAAGAAGTAGGGTTTTTGATAGCTTGCTATCAGGCAGGACGAAATTTCACAAAATGAGTTTGTAATGCTCTCAACAAGATGGCATAAAGCAGGAGAGAGCCATACCTTTTTGGACTATATCAGGCAACCAAGTATTCTTGACAGGAACAAAACTTCGTAACGTCATCGGTTTCAGCATCCATCAATCCGAGCTTACTCTCTCTCTCTCTCTCTCTCTCTCTCTCTCTCTCTCTCTCTCTCTCTCTCTCTCTCTCTCTCTCTCTCTCTCTCTCTCTCTCTCTCTCTCTCTCTCTCTCTCTCTCTCTCTCTCTCTCTCTCTATCTATCTCTCTCTCTCTATCTATCTCTCTCTCTCTCTTTCTCTCTCTCCTTCTCTCTATCTCATTATATCTATATCTCTCAGCCTACAGCTTTTTTTCAGGTTTTCCCATATCTTGTTTACCTATTTCAATCATATTTAAAGACTAGAATATATGACCCTGACAAGTTTAAAAAAATTAAAAAAATAAGTTGAAAAAAAAATCAGCCCTTAAGATGCATACATTGATTTTAAAGTCAGAAATACCCATTTTATACACATTTATCTTGACTTGTATATTTGAACAGGTTCTATTATATTTTTGTGAATGGCGTACCACCAAAAATTATATTTTATATTAAAGTTCTTAAACAACGCATCAAATTAAACATCCCCATAAGGTAGAGCTACTTTTATCTCTCAATAACGTTTGATCATTTTTGATGAATTGCAAGATAATAGTTATTTGTTAATCACATTATTTAAAGACTAGAATATATGACCCGATGGTATCGGGATAATAATGGTAAGTCCTTTGTGATAATTTATACATGCTATTGCAAAAACTCTTAACAATTCCTAACTTTAAAAAGAAGTATACATGTAATGATGTTTACGTTTCTAACATCATTAATTTTTTAGAAGTATTTATCTGCTATTTATTATATACCTACGCTACCCCCTTTCACGCCCCAAAACTAGTTTTGTTCTCTCTAAATATGACTTAAATTACCAAATCTAATAATCACATCACTAATTATATCATTACTGTCACTAAGAAGTTAATTGAGGGGGGATTTCTACGCTAGTGAAATACTTTAGATGTCTGGTGTTTTTCAATTGTTAAATGTTGGGCCCACCCTACCCCTTTTAGTGACGTTTTTTCTAAAAAAAAATTATGAAAACATAATCATAAATTTACAACAAAAACTCTCTCTCTATATATTTTATAATAGCGGAATTTGATATAGGCCTATTGAAATCTTCATTAGAAATTTAAACAAACTTTTGCCTGTTTTTTTTCAAAGTATAAATTATTGGAAAATCGTAAAACAAAAAAATATTTTATATAAAGAAGAACCTCGTAACCGGTTTACACGTCTATAACAGACTTGAGTGTCTTTTAAAAAAAAAAAAGTTATTAATTTCATAAAAATACACACCCACTTTTTTTTCGAAAAGTAAAAACAAAAATATATTTTCATTTTTTGAAAGAAAATATTAACCCAATGGTGTAAAATGATTGGGTTTTGATATTCATGGGTATGCTTATGTAAATGTAGGCCTACCCACGTGTATGTAAGCACGGGTATTCAGCTAGTTTATTATATTTCATTCATTATAAGATTTTCGCGCCTATACACTGTTTTATAGTTTTAAACGAAATAACATTAATTTTATTTTAAATTAATTTTTAAAAAAAAACTTTTTGTCTTTTCGGCCACAATTTGTTTCTTTTATTAAAAATTGTCATCTAAGTTAACTTAGAGATATCTTAGTGATGTAAGTATCTTTTAAAAACAATAAAATATCGTTTAATTAATAAATTTCCTTTTCAGTGAAAAAAGCAGGCAAGCTGTAAAAATGTAGTAAATTGTCACAAAATATTATTAAATGATATATTTCTAAATTAAAATCGTGTCATTAAGTATTGCAAAATTATAGCATTATATTTTAACATCTAAAAATGTTAGATACTTTCAAAATTTAAATTTCTATTTTCTCAAAAGTTGATAATGTCACATGTCACAATGCTGGTTTTTCCGCTAAGGTCTTCATATTGAAAACCAGTGGTATAAACACAAAAATCATATAAAATGTGAACCACTGCCTTTTTTTCTTTGCTTGTTTTCTTGTGGCTTTTTTCCTTCTTTTTTTCCCCTCCTCAAAACGCACACAGCTGCTGACTGAATAGATAAAATATATATCTTTATTTTCTTATCAGTGTTTTCTATTTGACAACTTGTCCAGTGTTCATGTCACGAAGTTTGGTAAGTATTTTTCTCTCATAATTTGAATTCTTTATAATTCTACCATATTCGGTTGAATAATGCTTTTTAAAAAGATGTATGAGCGATTGTACACACATAATATGGATATATAGTTTCATCCTATGAAGAGCTTTGACAAGCAATCGAAATGAAAATCTAAATGTCACGTAATGTGTCATGTCTATAGGTTATTACTTTAAAGAAAACGTTTTCAAAACGTACTGAATAACATGTAGGCAGAGCATTCACCTTAGCCACTTTTCGGCTTGGTGCCCTTGTATGTACACTTGCTAGTTTATTAATTTTTTTTTTCACATCACAATTTTGCACCCCTTGAGTATCCGAGCACAACTCCAGCCGCAAGGGGGTGGCATGCAACACGCGACAGCTCTTCATGTAGACAGGGACGTTATTTTGGTATGGCAGGGTGGGACATTCCACCCCCCCCCCCTTTAAGGGCCAGTTTTTTTTTTAAAAAGTATCTGAGCACCACTCCAGCCGCAAGGGGGTGGCATTCAACCCGCGACAGCTCTTCATGTAGACTGGGACGTTTTTTTGGTATGGCAGGGTGGGACATTCCCCCCCCCCCCCCCTTTAATGAGCAGTTTTTTTTTTAAAGTGACGCCCTTCATATATGCTACTTTAGCACTGCTATTCTCCTGCAATGCGGTTTAAACTAGTTTAATGGTCTGAAATTGTAATGAACATGAAATAATATTTATGATCATTTACGTCACATAACTTATTCAAATCATTTCTTTGTTACAGTGGGGTAGCTAGGGTTAGTTCTAAGATTTTTTCCACACCCTTCCACGAAAAAAACCTGAGCCATTGGACAAAAATGCCACCCCTCCATTTAAAAGTTTTAATAAGTGCCACCCAGAGTCCCCCCCCCCCCCCCCTTTGTTTGTACGCCTTGCCTACATATGCTATACACATCACTATAAATGGGCCAATGCTTTTAAAACGTGTTTAATTTTCTTTATTTTTAAGGCAATTTATTGAAAAGAAATTGTGAATTATAATAACATTAAAATGTCTTCGTATGTCTAAAAAAGAACTCTTCGGAATTTGCATTGTCGTACTCTTCAATGTCGTAATCCACTTCTGGCTCGGTGACTGTGCTTATAAAACTGTCTATGTCTCGGTCCGCTATGATGATGCGCCCATTACTTCCCGTGTTCACACACATGGCCGTGCCTATCGTGAAGTAGATGTTCTGCGTGATGTTGTTGACTCTCATGCCGTCATCACGCGTTTGCGTGTTTTCCGGCTGTTCCGTTTTCTCCGTTTCCACGAAACTTGTGAAAGTTGCGCACCCGTTGCCCGCGATGTGCTGGGCCAAGTAGTGCTCCACACATCTTTGCAAGTAGTCTCTGAGTTTGACCTTATCCATGGCAAACGCTTCCACTGTTGACTGTGTGTCTGGCTGGACTGTGAGTGTCTCAACCGGTAACGGAAGTGGTTGGGATAAGGGCTCACTGATGTCAGTAAACGGAAGTGTTTGATTGGGCGAGGGAAGAGCGTCTGGCCATTTGTTAGACTCTAATTCACTGGCGTTTTCTGGAGTCATGGTGTCTGAAAAATAGATGATTGAATATGAACTGACTTATCATAATAAAAAAAAAAAATAAACACGCAAAAAACAAAATATCTGTAAATTTTAAGTCAAGTAGGTAAAATCAACACGGTTGACATGTCTTAAATTACACCAAAAGTACGAGATTTTGGTGACTTTTACTGTACATAGCAATTTAAAAATAAAACCTGCAAATTCAAGGGGACGACAAATACCCTGCCCTACCCAAAAGACGTCCCTGGATTATACTAGAGAAGTCCAGCCCCAGGAGCGGATATTATTAGTTTAGAATCAGACGCTATTTCAATATAGCACAAGCAGTGGATGCCTACTAAGCTTGGTCTCCATCCAACGATTCACGTAGAGCCCTAAATTGTTAACTAAATATGATCCTACTGGTATTTATAAAAATTATACGTGGAACAAAAATTAGGGACTCCGGCGACGAAAGTGATGAAGATTATAAGTTCAAAATCTTCAAGTATTTCAATATAGATATTCAGGTGTAAGTGTGGCGAGTATGAGCAGAGAGTTAACAAAAACAACCCCACCAAAAAAAAAAAAAAA